AAAAAATTTTTCTGTCCTACTAACGACCTTGAATGGTCCATCATAAGGAGGTTGTAACGGTCTACGAACGGCGTCGCAACGCACAAAAACGTGTGTACAGTCATCGAGTCTAGCATCTACTTGCACTCGCTTGTTTTGTGTGCGTGTGGGAGTTGGTTGCAGGCGCTGCATAAGGCGCTTGAGGTTCTGAGCATAACAATGTACATCCGTAGCACTTGTCTCACCACTTTCAGGTGAGATAATTTCACCCGGTAGACGAAGGGTGGTACCAAACACCAACTCTGCGGAGGTGCACTGTAAGTCTGCTTTGAGCGTGGAACGGATGCTAAGTAGCACTAGGGGAAGGGACTCGGTCCACTTAGTATTCTCGGTAGCCATTAACGAAGCTTTCAGTTGGCGGTGAAAACGTTCTACAAGTCCATTTGCAGCTGGATGGTACGCGGTTGTTCGGATGCGTTTACACCCCAGCAGCTCTAAGAGCTTCTTGAAGTGGGTCGATTCAAACTGCTGTCCACGATCTGTAGTCACCGAAGATGGGCATCCGAATTGAGCTACCCAGCGTTCCATGAACACTAGGCAAATGGTTTCCGCGGTCGTGTCAGCGATGGGAATAGCTTCTGGTTAACGAGTGAACCGGTCGGCACATGTCAACAAGTAACAGTGGCCATTTGATGGTGGTAGAGGACCCACTATATCTAGATGTACGTGGCTAAAGCGAGCATCGGGTGTGGAGAAGGAACCCACTGGAGTGATGTTGTGTTTGTGGACTTTAGCTCGTTGACACGGCACACAGGTATGTGCCCAGATACGCACGACGCGATTTATACCAGGCCAGACAAATCTAGCTGACACTAGTTTGTCCGTTGCCCGGATACCTGGGTGGGAAAGGTTGTGGAGGCTATTGAATACCGTACGGCGCAATGAAGGTGGAACGATGGGTCTCGGGGTACCGGTGGACAGATCGCAGAGGATGGTACCCTCGCTGTTAACAAGCGGTATACGCTTGATATGCAAGGAGGTATTTAACGAGAGCTTATGGAGATCTAACTCTGTAAGCTGACGTTGCGCCATTTGTTTCAGGTCAATGGTTGGTGGCGCCGACATGGTACATATCCTAGACAAGGCGTCCGCCACAGCATTGTCAACCCCCGAAATATGTCGAATATCCGAAGTGAATTGTGAGATGTAGTCCAAGTGACGCAATTCGCGTGGAGAATATCTATCTGTAGTAGTGTGGAGGGCATACGTCAGGGGCTTGTGATCGGTAAATACTGTGAATTTCCGACCTTCGACAAAGTGGTGAAAATGTTTGATAGCCACGTATATGGCGAGGAGTTCTCTGCCAAAGGTGCTCTACCTCGCTTCAGCGGCGGACAACTTCCGAGAGAAAAAGGCGACTGGCATCCATGAAATATGTACCAGTTGCTGTAGAACAGCTCCAATGGCTGTGTTAGATGCATCAACTGAGATGCTAAGCGCAAGATGGACGTCCAGGTGAACTAGCATGGTGGCGTCTGCAATTGCCGACTTAATATTCTGGAAGGCTTCTCGAGCCTCTGGTGTCATGCTGAACGTTTTGCTCTTACCCTTTAGTAGGTCTGTGAGTGGCTGTAAAATATGTGCACATTGAGGAACAAATCGTCGGTAATAACTCACCATGCCTAGAAATGTGTGCAAAGATTTTATTGACGTAGGTTCCGGGAAGTCGCGTATTGCCTGCACCTTCTCAGGTAGCGGGCGAATTCCCTGTTCATTAATGACATGTCCCAGGAAGGTCAATGAACGGACGCCAATCTGGCATTTAGACATGTTAAGTGTCAAACCATGGGTTGTTAACCGCTCAAAAACCATCTGTAAATGCGTACGGTGGGTAGCTTCATCTGGGCTAGCCACAAGAATATCGTCGAGATAAGCATATGCGCAATCCAATCCGCGCAAAACATCGTGAATAAATCGTTGGAATGTTTGTGCGGCGTTGCGGAGACCAAACGGCATTCGAAGGAATTCGAAAAGACCAAAAGGGGTGATCACTGCCGTTTTAGGAATATCGTCTTAGTGAACTGGAATCTGATGATAGGCTCTGGTTAAGTCCAGTTTGCTGAATACCGTGGCACCCTTTAGTGACGACGTAAGGTCATGTATATGTGGTACGGGGTAGCGATCTGGCACGGTCTGTGCGTTAAGCCTGCGGTAGTCACCACAAGGCCTTTGGCACCACATGTAAAGGGGAAGACCACGGGCTGCTGGATGGACGGATTATCCCCATGTCTAACATATGTTCGAATTCAGCCTTCACGGCCTGTAGTTTTTCTGGGGACAATCGCCGTGGCTTTGCGAATACCGGTGGACCAGTGGTCACGATATGATGAGTGACAGTAGAAGTCACACAAGGAAGTTTAGAAACCGATTTGAACAGATTGGCAAAGGACTGAAGAACTTCAGCGTAAGGGCCGTTAGAGGCAGGGGTTGAATATACTGGGCTTAATGCAGGTGTGTGCGTCACAACACCGGAGATCGAAAGGTTTGTAGCTGAATCGATCAATTTGTGTTTGCCAGTATCAACCAGTAGCTGATAGTGTTGCATGAGATCCATGCCAATAATACCGGTAGTTCTTCAATGAACGAAATATTCCCATATTGAGTCATAAGAAAAAGGCACAAACAGCGAAGAAAATTTTCTTTTCGACGATTCATTTTCATGAGCTGTACAATCGTAATTATAATTAACAAAGAAATCTTTAGACCAATCAGATACTGGTAAATTGGTAAGAGCAACAGCTCGATCCTCGAACACCTTGTCATCTCTGGACATCGAGCACCCCCACATGAATGCTTCACAGTGTTACACAGAGTCCCTCAATATCGTACAAAGGGACTTCGGATTCGCCATCTGTACATAGCTGAAGCATTAGCTATTCGAGATCTAAAACCGGACCTCTGCATACAAAAGCGATACATACATTCTCTAGCCTTACCATGGCCAGAGTAAAGTTCTTGTCACAATTTTGCTTCCTTCCTTTATTATGTAAGTTCACTATTATTACCATTATTATTTTATTTTATTAATATTTTTATCATTTTGTCCCCATCATCCACATTTTATTACCACTCTATTACTGTTTATTGATAACATTGTTTTTCATACATATTTTATACAAAAACACTTTATAGCCTCTCCACTAGTTCCTGTCCATTTTACACGAGATTATTGATTATTCACTATCTCACACTTATTACGTCATGCCAACTTCTGTCTCCTTTCTAACTTACAATTAGTCATCCCTTCTTACACCTTACATTATGTAATACAATTTTCCAAGGACAAAATTTACCAGTATCTGATTGGTCTAAAGATTTCTTTGTTAATTATAATTACGATTGTACAGCTCATGAAAATGAATCGTCGAAAAGAAAATTTTCTTCGCTGTTTGTGCCTTTTTCTTATGACTCAATACCGGTAGTTACATCTGCCACAAGGAAAAACCCAGCGAAATGACCTACGTAGGCCTATGTTAAGATCCAGGAACCTTTTACCATACGTTGTGATTGGCGAACCATTTGCGGCACGAAGCTGTAAGGAAAGTGGCTTCTGGTGCTCTTCAGACGCTGGTGGAATCACGCTAACTTCCGCCCCAGTGTCAACCAGGAAGCGTGTCCCAGTGTTACGGTCAGTAACATAGAAGAGGCGACATGGAAGTGGTTCGCCAGCGACGTTAGTCGCCAATACGTGCTGGCTTACTGGTTTCCCGATTGCTGGACATCAAAGGTGCACAGGCGAGTGCACTTTTGGGCCTTGTCACCATAACGCCGGTGATACCAGCACACTCCAGGTTGGGAATTTTGAGACCTACGACGTCTGCTGCCAGCTCGTGAAGAAGATCTACCACGCGTTGACCTGGTGCGGCTATTCGAACGACCTCTAGGTGTCATCTCCTGTCTTAACTTATCTATCTCTTCATAAAGCTTAGCTATGTAGGCCACCACATCTAATTATGATGACCCTTCGGTAGACGAGTCCTTCGTCTGAGTGGGACTAGCGGTTACGGCCATCCCGCGAACAAGACGATATATATATAGGATGATAACAACAAATATGATAACAAAAAAAATATTAGTAAAAACAAGGCAAGTAAAATTTTATGACTGTGTGAAAAACAAATTGCCAATATGAAAAAGGACTATTTACACTTTAGGCTACTAAGTAGGCAAACGGTGAAAACTCGCGCTCACCACTTGTAGGAGTTAGACTTAGGATTAACTTCGACCTAACAATAACCACTCTTACAAAACTTCTTCACCGCTTATGGCCTTAATCGTACTCTGCCTGACGTGCAAGTACTAACGAACGGAATCAAAGTTAAAAGACTTGAAATGGCAAGTATAACTAGACCAGAATTGTATTTACACAAAAGAGATATATAATTTGATAATAAACAAGAGGTACACACTTATCTGCAGGTGAGACGGTGGTCAGCTCGGAGAGTGTACTGGATGAAAGTACAGTGAGAGAGCGAAACCGAAACCGTACAGGAGGTTCAGGAATACAAAAGTGGAAGTCGGGTTAAAGGTCAGGCTGAGTTCATTCAAACAAAAGTTCAAAGGCACAAAGTACACTACAGGATCGAACCCCGGACCATGTGCATGGTCGGCGAGAGTCCTAACCATTGTGCCACCAACGCACATATTGTGGACAAGAACGCGGCGGTGGCAGCAGCGTTATGGTGTGACTGTACATCTCTATAATCCATTCTTGTCATCTCTAATAAGTACGTCTTTAAGCAACAGCTTGGTTTCCAAAGGCAACTACAGTAAGATTTCATCAATCGAAATGTGTAGACTGCTAATTGATAACCAATTTGCAAGTTGTAAATTTGACTAACATTCACTCATCCATCATCTATCATAATGTTTTTTAAATGTTGAAACAAATCAATAATTTGTCACATGACCAGTAGATTATTTAATGTATATTATACACTGCATCTAATAAGTGTGAATGAATGAATCGTCGAGATACAGAAAATAATTATTACACTGAAAAATATGCAGAATTCGGGAAACAATTCACAACAAATCGTTGGCCAAAAATAATTCTGAGTGAAAGGATTAAACAGGATATTCTGAAAGTTTTTAACATATTTAGTAAACCAGGTGAAGGAACAATATCAATTGATGATGTTCGTGTAAGTCTGTATGAATGATTCCGATGGAAACTATCCATATTGTTATTTATTATTATTGTTCCTTTGGGTTCCGAGTGAAACAATGGGCTTCAAGAACACGTCTCCATAGTGTCCTATTCTCTGCCAACCTCTTCAGCTAGCCCCAAATCAAAATATTGATTCTAATTACGTTGTGTTTTGACTAGACACCGGGGAGTAATTAACTAGTGTAATGCGTGTCTAATCCTATCTTTGGTGTAGACTGAATTCTGTCAGTCAAGTTTGCAGTGTGGCCACTATGTTAGGTGACTCGCCATCACGATGCACTTTTCTATGAATTTTGGATATTAGATGGTTGGAGGCAATCAGAAGGAAGCCCTGCCTAACCCAGGTTTCATGCTTGTCAGCACTCCTCAGTCAGCCCGGCGTATCTGCCTACCTACCTACCTTGAAGGAACTCATGTCCGTTCTGAGATTCGAACCCGCGTCACTCAGTGCTTCAGTCTTTGATGTTACTACTGAGGTATTCGGGCTCGTGATTGATCTCCTGATTAGTGGCATGAAACCTAGGTCCAAGGCTTCCTACCGATTGCCTCCAACCATCCTGGTCGTCCTAGCATATATACAAATAGGCTTGTTTAGCATTTGTTACTGTATGTTACCTCCTAATTTATAACGAGAAGTGCAGTCACACGTCAAAATAAGTGTGCATTCGATGATATTGTTGTGCTATGTGCAATGTCTTCATGTGTATACATTCGGACTGACTCCAGCACCATTTTTGTGTTTTTCCGTTCTGTTGTCAACACTCACATAAACTGACTTTGCAATACAGCCGTATTCATCAGATAAGTTCTAAATCTTTTTCCCTGGATAATCTTGAACTTTTATTTTACCCAAATATCATTTCAACTACAGGCGGAACTGACGAGGATATCAAAGCAAGAATCAGAAAAGCAAGACAAGCTTTCACTACTTTCAAGTCTGTGTCGAGGTCAACAACACTCAGCATCAAAAATAAGATCCGGATTTTCAACTCCAATGTGAAGTCAGTGCTATTTAACATACGGATCAGAGACTTGCACTTCATAAAGAGCATCTCAAACAAATTACAGACCTTCAATAACAGTTGTCTTCGCTCAATACTCAAGATCAGATGGCCGGTCAGAAAAGATCAGCAACAAAGATCTCTGGCAATGAGCGAACCAACCAGGAACCGATTGTGAAACAAATAAGCAGGAAGAAATGGAGATGGATTGGCTGGCCATACTCTGAGGAAACCATCAAGTGACATCACTAGACAAGCCATTGCTCGAGTGGAACTCGAAAGGGAAGTGGCGAGTCGGTCGTCAGTGCGAAGGTGGGGTGACTTGGAGGAGGTGATGTGAAGAGGAGATGAAAATGTGTGGGCAGACTTGGAGCCAGGTGAAGACTCTAGCAGAGAACCGAACGCAATGGAGACGCATGGCTGAAGCCCTATGTTCCTCTAGAAATTAAAGGAAACAATAATAATAATCCTGCTAACCAGAGGATATTTCCAATGAACTAAGTTTCTTTAAATTTGCGTTTTGTCGTCAGCACCTACAGGTTAGATGGTGTAGTGACTTCTAAGGTAACTGAGTAAATTACGTTTAGTAAGCGCTAGTAAAGTGAAGCTTATCAACAGCATCACCAATACCCCTTCAGTATCTTGATCTTTCCAACTTTATAGTCACTAGACACACTCTTTGGAAGTAAAAGATTACAAACATAGATTTCTAACACAGATGTCTTTACTTAATAGCTCACTATAGTTATTGAGCAACGCTGAGGTTAGACGATGGGTTTCAAGTAAGACGGCAAACTATTCAGTTATATAGTGAATTTTTCTGATTTGAAATAAATGTTAGTCATGGCATAAGACATCTCAGGTAATAAAGTATAATTATATTTCAATAGTTTACACACAATGATAAGTTTTGTTATTGATAATTCTGCTCGAAATATTACCAATAACAAAACTTATCATTGTGTGTAAACTAGTGAAATATAATTATACTTTATTTGATCTAATCCACAATGCTCAAACTTCTTACTGATATTAATCTCAGGTAATGTTAACTGAATGTGGAAGATAGTAGTTAAGGGTGGTGAAACTTTGAAGTTACTGACTGTGGGTCTGCACTACGTAGATTGTTTCTTTAGTCTCTGTGAGATAGCCCAGAATTGTTCAAAAATGTTCGTTTTTATCACAGAAATTCTGACTTTCTTCATTACAATCAGCTTAGTCGTCTTCTCTGCAACACATGTTTATCTACGGTACATTATACTGTGTTATTATTATTCCATTTAGTTTCGAGTGGAACACAGGGCTTCAACACTATATCTCCGTTTAGTCCTGTTCTCTGTGCTCCTCTTTAGCTGGTCCCATGATTGCCCATTAGCCTCTCATCTCTTTCTCGCAGAACCTTCTCCATGTCACCCTTGGACCTACGATCAACTCATCCTTTCTCACTTGGGTGATAGCCTGGAGTGCGATATCACACAACGGTGTCCTTAGAAAGTTCCCGATTCATCCCAGTTTTCTTCGTCATATCTGTTGAGCAATAAGTCCTTAATCTGTTTGTTCCAGAGTTTCTTGTTGCTAATTCTTTCTGGTTAGCCATATGATCTTCAGTATGGAGCCACTAACAGCAGCTGTTAATACAAGTCTACAGGTGCCTGTTGGAAATGTTTTTCGTGACTCACTGGCCAAGTTTCTGACCTGTCTTGAAGCAATGACTGACTTAACTTACATAAGTTAATCTTGTTCTCTATATTGAGTACTGCAGATTCCCAAAGTAATTTCAGAGTGATGAAGGTCTACCTTGCCTTTCCGGTCCCGTTCCACCTGGAGTTGAAAGGACACTGTCCAGTCAACCTCTTTCAAATCTCTTCCGTTGATAGTGATTGATGTTGCTTGTTGTTATTGGTTACCTGGTTATTTTCATCACCTCCGTCTTCTCTATGTTCCCTCGAAGTCATCCTGCCAGTCTCTTCTGATAGTTTGTTGTTTTTTGCCTGTAAGTTTTCGAGTTTAGACATTAATTAAACACAAAGCATTCAAGAACTCCAAATCTTCTAGAGTCTTCTTAAAGGTCCAATGTATTCGCGTCTTCTCGCTGCACACCTACAGTATTCTGCATATTGGGAGTGTATCTACTGTAGTATTATGATATTCTCATCCTCCTCAAAAATTTTATTTTCCTTCCCTTTTCATCAATAAAGGTTGCATTCAGAGCACTTGGTTATGATGCAAAACCTTATGAATTCGAAGAACTTCGAGAAAGAACACAAGAATTTGATTATCAAGTAAATTTTGGTGAATTTCTAAAATTAATGGAAGATAAAATGCTCGCTGTTGATAATGACATAGATATTGAAAAGTCATTTGAGTTATTAGATACCGGAAATAAAGGTTTTATCGATTTAAATGATTTAAGACTGGCTATTAACAAGTTGGATTATGAAGAGCGATTTCATGATGAAGATTTAATGGCCATGCTGTTAGGTGGACAAATGACTGATCCAACAAAAGGATTGAGTAAAGAATATGAAGAACGTCAAAGACTAGCCAGAATTAGATCAAAACAAAAACAACCAACTATAACAACAACAAGTGGTGGTTTACACAACAACCCACTGAATCCTGCAGCTCAGAATGAAGATTCCCCTTTGCCAGGCTTTACTCGAGCTAGACGTTTGTCATCCAGTGGACAAATGAGTCCAGAGAAGATGGTGATTAATTTACAACAATTTAAGCATTTAATGAAGATGACAAGACCACCAGCTGAAGATATAACACTAATGTAAACATGTCAACACACTTTTGGAATTGATATGATGCAAATAATCTTCATTGAAACAATATTATGTAAAATACTTATGTCTACAGCAGATTTCGTCTTTTTCTTGCGTATTTTCATCCCATTATGACAATAAAATTAGTACATGAAAATCGAGTAAATGAATGCTTTGCAGTTGGGTTGAGATTAGGAGGAGGCATCTTAAGCATAAACGGCTGTGATAACCAAACAGGTGGAAAGAGTTTAATATAGCGAAAATATTCATTCTGACATTTACAAAACAAAACCAAATTCGAGCAACTAATATTCTTATCGACAAATTTCTCATCTGACTTTACAATTATGCATATTTTCAAGTATTGGTTTAGTAGGGACTTTGTTTAATTGCATGGAGGATTTCATCATCAGCTGACATCAGTTAGAGGACCACTGGAAAACCTGGGAGTACTGGACAGCTGTTTCGTCCTAGTTTGGGACTCTTCATCAGTACGCAACCGCCGGGATTCGAACCCAGGACCTTCTGGTTACAAGGCGAGCCCGTAGACCATTGAGCCACTGGGACCCGATCCAATGGTCCTTGAATTCTAACTTCTGCCAATTCACGACATAGCGCGACCATTTCGCAATGTCTTCTTAGATGAGTTACTGCCTCATCTTCAACCTGCTGTACCCTACTGGTCACGGCTTCCCACTAGAACCCCAGGTTATATATATATGTATAGATATATATATAATTTTAGGAAAATCATCACTAACAATACTCGCACTTTTTGTCAAAGTAATATCGATTTGTTAAGATCACAATGGAATTACAGTTCAAGAAAGAAGCAGAAGTTATAACAAGCATAAAAATGTAATAGTAAATAGAACATCAAATAAAATTAAGCAAAGATCAGTGAAACCTTGATGGCCAAGGTAAAGAAAGCGTCTGAACCAACCAATTTCTTTTGGATACATAGGTTATGCTTCTTAATGTAGATTCTAATGGCCTCAGCAATATGCGGTAGACGGACTTTTAAGGTAAAATTGAGATTAGATGGTATACGGTAGATAACTTTGAAAGTCGTCTTGTTAACATCAACTTTTCGTTCTGTTTCTAAGAGATGAGACAGTATAGAACTATGAATGAACTTCGTTTTTCCCTTACTTAACCACTATGCAGGATGGTGTTTGGAAATTCGACGATAAACACGCCTAATTGTATGGCCTATGTAACTGGCTCCACAGGAGCAGTCAAACTGTTAGATACACACAGAAGAGGCGAAATTAGGTAGTTTATCTTTAACTCCCGAATGTAAAATAAGGGTGGTTTTGAAGAGACAGTACACTTCAGCAGTACTGAATGCTCTTCGTCTTACCGCATTCTTTAGGTGTTGTGCTAATAACTCACTTATGTTATTGCCAAGGCGGAACCGAAGTTGTAAGAACAAGGCCTTCCATTTTCTGGACTGTTGGCTGGTACTTTGGCCTGCTTTGACTGTTGATTCATATTCTTATCGATGAATTTTTCTGAGTAACCGTTCTCACTTAGCAGCTGTTTAATAATATCATTCTCTTTGTTAAGACATTCCTCAGAGCAGATTGTTCTTGCTCTATGAACCAAGCACTTTATTAGACTGAGTTTGTATTTCGAAGGCATGAAGCTGAAAATATGAGTATACTGACCAGTTGATGTAGGTTTTCCATATACACTTCTTCATATTGTACCATCCTCTTTTCCAGTCACAAGGATGTCTACGAATGAAATAACAGAGTCTCTCTTTCTCTCTCGATGGTAAAATTTATTGTAGGATGCACATCATTAAATCTGTCGAGGATGTTCTTTGCATCGTCCTCATTTTTCATAATCGAAAATGTATCACCCATATAATGGAAGTAGAATTCTAGTTCATCAATTACATCATCCACAGGCTCATTGTCTAGTTTCTTCAAGGAAAAGAATGATTAGTCAGATAGACTGTTTTTGACAAATACAGGTCGATCAGTTAAATCACAACAGAACGCTTCAAATGACCTTGAAAATGTATAATCCGTCGGTAGTCAGACAACGTATTAGGTTATGGTGTGTCTCTTCCAGTCATGATTGGAGGAGATAGCCTTTTGGTATTCATATTGGTAGTATTAAGTAGGGGTAGTACTAGTTGGACTTGCTGTCTCACTATTATTCCTCGTTCACTGTCCCAATACATTACGGAGTTACCGAGGTTCGTTTTTATTAACCTTAGAGTGACTAACACTGTCCAACAGCATCTAGAAAAAACAGCAAATCTGATGGAGTTAAATGCATGGCTGTGAATGTATCCTCCCGTGATATGGTTATCGACATCCAGTCTGGGAATAAACCAATCAGAATTGGCCTACGTAAAATAATGCCCACTATTTTAAACTCATCATGATTACAGACTAGTTGACATATCCTTGGTGATTTTTTGAATAGTACGTTTTCGTGTAGATATAACATTACTTACCGTCTTGTCTTGGTTGTATTCTCGCTTAAGTAGAGCAGGCCGAGAGATTGGTTAGCCAGTGTTGACGTTGTTGGAGTCGAAAAGCGATATTCGTAATTACCGCGTCTGTGTCATCAGCTCTATGTCCCTATTTCAACTCAACATTTTACGAAAAATAACCTCGCCTAGATTACTAGGTCACTAATCGTACACTGAGAATGTTAGTTGTTTGTCAAATAACATTACTTTGAACAACAGCACAAAACCTAATGCTGAATTGTAGGCTTGAATGATACTTTCAGAGCACGAAATAGAAAATTTATAGTGCTTATTGTTTCTACTAATACCCATTGTAAGTAGTTTGACAGGTTATTGTGAAATATTTATTATAATCAAACAGTAGTAGTGTTACGGTCCTCACAACCAGTGAAATTTCTTACTGAGGTAGTTTGTCAACAAGACTCCAATTTTCACTTTAAATAAAATCCAACAGTTTTTATTAATTTGGATACAGATGTCAAAAAATAAGCAGATCTGAAGATGATGCTCACACTAACGTCAAAAGATCCATAGGTACTTCTGGAACTCGATCAGTAAATGCTCAACTTCATGTGAAACGTGGGTTTTTCTTGAGTGTCAATACTATTGATCTGTAAAACACCCTATAGCTTTAAGGTGGTAGTACAAAAAAAATCCACATATCACAATAGAAATCTTCATTTCATGATGGAGATTAGTGAGTAGTACGTCTACATAATTCGTATGAAAATTGGTCCAAAACTGCAGCTTTGATTCTCTGGACGAAGAATTACACGTTTTGAAAGAAATCTTCGTGCAAAGGACAAGATCTAGCACCTGACCACTTCTGTGTGCATATATCAGTTCACGTGTTGCTTTGGAGCCAGGTATATTGGTCTTTCGATGCAGATCCTGTCTAAAAGAGCCTCAGGAACACCGTCCTGCTCGGTTGGAGAAAGGTACCAGTGACTCTACAGAAGAAGTGCAATAATTGAACACCTTGTAGACACTGGTCATTCTATCTCGAGAAATTCCTCTTTCAAGGTGATATGCAAAGTGAAAAGCGACCTGCTTAAGACGATCCATTTTCGCCTCCTTTGCACTGTTGTAACTTCTCTAGTTATCCAGATTTATTTTTAATATTTTTCTATTTTTATTTACAGCTTGATTCCACACCGTATTTTCAGTACAAGTGTGGAATTTTCAGCATGGATATCGGTAGCCCAAATTCAGGCCGACCATAGATATCGGGTGTGCGCCGGCAGGAGATCGAACCCCGGACCATGTGCATGGTCGGCGAGAGTCCTAACCACTGTGCCACCGACGCACACGGATAAACCGGAGTTGTATACACAAAAGAGAATCTTTTATCCACTTGTACTATAATGGTAAGGTTCCTATTATTATTATTATCAACCTAACCGCTTTACTTATTTTACTGCTGTGATCCTTTATGACTCGTCTTTGCTCCAGAACTCTTAGGTAATGTAAAATTCCCTTCGTTTTTATATGGAACCCGATTACAGCTCACTTAAGCAATTCCATCAGACTTATTCAAATTCTCATATGTATTGATTACTAATATTAGCAACTATTCTTATGATGATTCATCCCTTTTTAATATCCACTTTCATGAGGAAAAACAAATTATACGTAAGTGCGATTGTACAGCTGAAGAAGAGAAGGAATTCACCAGTGGACACCAATCCTCCAACGAAAGCAGAAATCCTAAATGCGAGGAAGCTACTGAACACCAGCCGGAAAGGCAGCAGGGCCACACGGAATTCCCCCACTCTGAAGCACTGAAAAAGGACCGAGAGACTGCGGCAGATATGTTCACACTATTATTGTAAAAGGTTTGGAAGAAAGGAAAGGTACCTACTGATTGGAAGAAAGCCTAGCTACCAAAGAAGGGCGGCTTACGTATCTGCAACAACTGGCGTGGAATAATGCGGTTGTCCAAGCCGAGTAAAATACTAAGTCACATCATCCTGGAGAGAATAAAAGATGCACTGGATACAGAAGTCTGCCCGCCGGAACGAGCTGGATTCAGGAAACGCAACTCTACGCATCGTCATCACAGAAAAAGCATAGAATGGTAGTCAAATCTCTGCCTCAACTTCATCGACTTCGAAAAGGCCTTCCACAGACAGCGTTGACCGAGAAGTGATTTGGAAACTACTTCAACACTACGGCATGCAGTGCCCAAGTCTTTGTCAACCTCATTCAACAGCTATATGACAATGCCACGTGTCAAGTGATCTACAATGGAAAACTCAGCTAGGCGTTCGAAGTGCATACAGGAGTAAGATAATGCTGACTACTATCACCAATGATATTCCTAGTTGTGGTGCACTGAATTATGCGACAAACCGTACATGTAGAGTAAGAAGACAGGAATACGTCAGACCGATAAGAAGACTCCAGAAGATCTGGATTTCGCTTGTGGATGATTTATGTTTAATGTCACACAAACTCGAAATCTTATAGGTAGAAAACAACAAACTGGCTGAACAGGCAGGCAGCGAAGACAGGAATCCAGGTGAACATACCGAAGATACCCACGCACCAACACCACCAATAACAACCAGCACGCAATCACCATCAACGGGAGAGATTTGACGGACGTTAATTCCTTCACTTATCCGGCTAGGAAGCACGTTTCAACTACAGGCGATAACACGGATGAAGATGTCAAATGCTGATGCAACTTCCCAAACAATAAGTGAAACCATCAACACACTCCACCACTTCACTCCTTCCCATCTTTAAGCCACCTAAGAGTCGATGTAGTCCAGTCCTGTAGGACCATCCTACATTCGATAGGAGCGAATCACATGCCAAACATTCGAAAATCGTTGCTCAAAGTGTCCAGAAGTCTCTGCGATTTATCACCGTCTTCACCCAGAAGGACTATATCATCCACATATTCGAAGTCAACAAGATTATTCCCTCCCTGTTGGTAACAAGTCAATCCCTGAGTCACTGAAGTCAGTCAGAGTCAATTCCTTCAGTACATCTATGATGAAAATAAAGAGAAATTTTGACCATGGCCATCCCTCACTGATGGACACCACTGGTTGTCATCACTTCAGATGACAACTCTTCGTAGGCTCTTACTTGGATGGCTTCGTGAGTTCAAGTAGAGTGCCTTGATGAGTGCAATGCATGTTTTCGGCATTCCCTTCACAGCCAAACATTGCCATAGTACCTCTCGGACGGTGGAATCGAATACACAGAACACAATAATTATACATGATTATTTTTCATTATTCATTGTTAATCAAGTAATATTCACATAACATTCCATACCACCCGTTGATTTCAGTAATATATTATGCAATTTAGCCTAGCCAATATATGTAGGTAGACAGAGAAAATATCATTTAAAAAAACAAACAAAAAATAGAAAGTAGGCATAAGAAGTACTTGACATCACAATTGCTAATGTGAATATACACACCAGAATAAATACACCTGAAGTCATTAAAATTACACGGAATAAAAATAAATTTTGAAAAACAAAACAGGGGAGATCTTGGGGAATAAAAAAAAGAAGAGCAATGACAAGTTGACGAATCAAATACAACATCTCGTAAGTCAAAAAGGTTAATAAAGCTCGGTGAGAAATGCACATAGAAAATTACTTTAAAATACTCGATTTCGATGAAAATAGGCGTTATTATAATAATAATTAGTAGATAATGTGAATCACCGAATAAAAATTTATATTATCACTTCCTCCCTCGTCTCATCTGATTTGCACCGAATTGTATAGCCTACGATCGACGACTCTCGAAGAGAATATTATCTTCCTAAGATAGTGTACAGTCCAGAGGACAACAAAATAGTCTTTTACGCTGACTAGGCGTAGAAAGGTTTAAATTCCAATCATCATCCCATTCATCATCAGGATTCCCTGCTGCAGTTGACAAACCATTACGACTAGTTCGATCACGTTTTAAAACATCATGTAAACCATTATTGGAGACTTTTTGAAACAGTGCGCCGTCAAATTCTTCACTACAAGAAAAAAAAAAACAAAAAAGTCAACTATAAAAGAAGGGGGACATCTCATCACAAAAATACAGACAGATATAAAAAAAACTAAAAACAAAAAGAAACACTTGCTTAGTGACTGACAGCGCCACAATTAACTGATAATGTCATTGGGAATTGTTATCAAGGCACTCTACTTGAACTCACGAAGCTAGCCAAGTAAAAGACTACGAAGAGTTGTCATCTGAAGTGGTGACAACCAGCGGTGTCCATCAGTGAGGGATGGCCATGGTCAAAATTTCTCTTTATTTTCATCACAGATGTACTGGGGGAATTGACTCTGACTGACTTCAGTGACTCAAGGATTGACTTGTTACCAACAGGGAGGGAATAATCTCGTTGACTTCGAATATGCGGATGATATAGTCCTTCTAGGTGAAGACGGTGATAAATCGCAGAGACTTCTGAACACTTTGAGCAACGACTTTCGAATGTTTGGCATGTGATTCGCTCCTATCAAATGTAGGATGATCCTACAGGACTGGACTACATCGACTCCTAGGTGGCTTAAAGATGGGAAGGAGTGAAGTGGTGGAGTGTGTTGACGGCTTCACTGACTGTTTGGGAAGTTGCGTCAGCCAGCCCCAACGAGTTGGGGCTCGTTTGAAATTTGCTAAATTACACTATCTCTGGTGCAGACGTGATATCCGACTGGTTATCGATCAAAGGACGTGTATACTCCTCAGTAGCAGTTCGCTCCGTCCTCCTTTATGGCTGCCATTGAAAATGAAAGATATGAAAAAGGCTGGCTGGCTATCTTTGATCATGTGTCTCTGTTGTCTCTCCCATGTTAGGTGGTAGGTGTAATAGGGTAACTAATATTGAGGTTGGACTTAAGTCAACTGTTAGGTAAGGAGGGGAAGTCAATTGATGAGGCTTTGAAGCTGCATCGACTGAGATGGTTAGGACATGCGTTACGCATGCATGCCTAGCCATCGCCTTCCTGGACGGGGAATGTTAGCTCACATAGAATGAGGTTGGTCGGAAAAGAGCTAGCTGTGATCAAATGGTATTTATCCATGAAATCTTCAACAGTTGATTTTAGCCAGCACAGCAGAGAGATGTAAAATGCTTGGTTGAGGTCCTCAGAATGGTAAGAACCAATGAAGGCTGGAGGCAATTGGCGATATGGCTCGAAATCGTCTTCGATGATGGCATATTCACTCTTTGTAATTTGTCATATCCAATGAAACTCTATTGTTGTTTCATATTACTATTTTATTCCCTCACTCACACTTTTGTTTATTATCTCTCTTTTGAACCTCTTTTCACTCTCTTCTCTTGGTTTGTGTGGTACATGCAGTATGGCAGCTAGAACTGATACATATTTGTGCAAAGTTCTATGGTGAAACGAGTCAGTCAGTCAGTCGGCTTTTAATTTTCAAGTCTTCTAATCAGTGTAGATTAGTTTACTTTAAAATCAGTCAAATTCCAACAAACATGAAATGTGAATATTGTCAAATAAAATAAAAAGCAATAGTATGAACTACCTAAATAAAAATCAGTAGAATTATTACTATTATCGAAATAATAATAAAAATAGAACCTCAATAATAATAAGGAAACAAACCTTTCTTCATCATCACAATCCACAGTGATCAGCGGCATATGTTTTGTATAATCATACTTTCGCCAAAACTGATTTGACGTGTCACTTTTAGGGAAACGGAGTTTATCTTTTGGTAAAAGTTTATATCGTCTTGGTTGTTTTGGTCGAACAACTGTAATCGATGGAATGTGGGAATTATTCTGATTCCCCTCAGAATTAGTTAGTGGCGATTTATCAGTAGTATAGTCCATAACCATACAGTGGGTTGGATACGAAATGTGATGATGATGATGATGACAGACGCTGTTCATTGTTTCAAATTATAAAATATTAAAAAATATACATGACAAAAAAGTTTTGGTAGTAAAATAACAATGACAGAATATATTACTTAGTAATTAAATGTTTACGATGCACATTTAGAAAGCTACAGATTTTCATCTTGTGGTTCTGAAAGGGAGGCATAAAAGTGTGCTCAAACATTTGGAACATTATCATCATTCAGCGTGAGTGGCCAATAAATACTGGGCATCGACAGCTAACATTGATATAAGAATAGAACTGCTGCACTGTGGTAGCGTATAATTCCATTGTGTGATTTGATTGGTAGTAATAGTGGAAAATACTACTACCAATCAAATCGAGCGTTGAAAAATAATGGAATTATATAAACGAAGTTAGAAAATTGTGTGAGTAACCTGATATGATTATGAGCGGCAATAAATTGTGCTCGAAACGTTATCATTAAATATTACTGTGAGACTTTATCAAAATAAGTTTTATCCACAATGGAATCAACAGCTAACTATACGCAAGTGCACAGCTTGTACATTCGACTTCTACTCTAGAAGCACTTACCATGAATCAAGTGTTCCTGAGAACCTGGTTTTTTGCTTTGTTTAAAGTCTCCCCCTGAATCTACTGAAATGGTACCAAGTAATTTTTAAAAAGTCACTACATTATGTAACATTATTACCTACTGCATTTACTTCCAAGTAAACCAAGGATCTATTACCGGCAAATCTAACTCATTTTATTTTGAGGAAGAGCGAGCTCAGATTCAGCATTTGGATTCCAATATCGGTGTTATAAATAAAATGAGTAAAAACACCTATTCTCCGACCTAATTTCTCCTTTTAATAAATGAGGCAGCGATCTCAGATCCCGAACACACCATTCTAGAGAAGTGTAATAGAAATTCAATCTCAAGGAAGTGTGGTAATAATTGAGCTACATCTATTCTAGGGTTGAAATCATTTCGCTATTACTGTTACAATCTACATATCGGGAAATCTTTTTATCAGAAAAAATCTATGCAATTGAACTGCTGTTATACATATGTTTTAACAGATAAATTTGTACCGCTCATATTAAAAATGTTAGTTTGAGGTAAAAATATACGCTGGAATTATTCATATTTCTGAAAAGCCAAAGACGCTGATGAATGCCAGGTTACATAATAATGCCAAGCTTCTGTCTGGAATATATAAAAATGGGTGCTTCTATTCAAAAGTCAAATAGATTTGTTTCCTTTTTTAATTAGAGGTAAATATATCCATGTTTTGCAACTAACTCCACCTCCATATTAATGTTCGCTTTTTGTTAGGCAGCGAAGATAAGGACGACAATGATACACTGATATTGCAAGGAGACCTCAGCAAATTGTTGGAGTGGCCGAATGAATGGATGATCCCGATCGAAGTACAGAAATGAACAACTATGAGCATTTGACACGCAAGCGTCAACTCTACGAATTAGGGGGGAATAACACTTCCATCAGTTCAGATTCATTTGGATCTGGGTGTCATAGTAAGTCACGACTTAAAAGCTACAGATCATTGTCGCGCTGTGGCAGCACGTGGTTTCAAATTTCTATGGGCATGACACAAAGCCTTTAATAGAATCACCAGAGATATGTTCACCTCTTTATACACAGATCTGGTGAGGATGACCGGCGCTCTTCACCGGGTTGACTGTCCGTTGGATGACAGTCTAGGGGAGATGGCTAAACTCTGATTCCAAACCTCCAATGACTGGCGTATGAAGCTCACTGGAGCTCACCGGCAGACGTATGGACAAAGGGCTTGTTGGATGTCCTGGATGTCTGGCCCCATTCAAAAAGGCGTATGAACCGAACTCCGGTCACCGGCTGCCAATGGATAGTGGACTGCCTACTCCACTCCTACTGCCTTGTAGGTCACACTTGGTTGTGTAAAGGCTAGAGCTGCACTCTCAAACAAAAGGCCGAGTGTTTCTGGGGACATCACTCGTACCGAATTCCCATGAAACTTCGTAAACTCTGTTCATCAGATCGCTGCGCCTGGGTAGCGATGATTTGAGAAGTTCATGAAGCCGGCTCATCCTTCCGTAGGAGATAGCCGAAGCAAAGTAAGGTGAGGTCAAGACTAAAAGAATGTATCCAGGCAGCCAATCCTCCTCTCAAGGAGGACTTACACATTCTAGAAAGGGTTCAAAGGGATGCAACGGGTGTGATTCTCGGCATGACTAATTTATCATACGATAATAGACTATACAGTTTGAATCTCTTCTCCCTGTCATAGTGTAGTAGGCAGAGATCTAATTACAACATTTAAAATTTTCAATAATGACAACGGATCTGATCTATTCACTCTTTTCCTTCCCACTGAATCAGGACAACTTTGGGGACATAGCAGGACAACTCAGAAGCCGAGGAGAAATTATATCACTGTGCAGTACTGGTTCTTATATCGAGTCATAAGCTCCTGGGACCGACTCCAAAAAGAAGTGGTATCAGCGCCCTCAAATGACTCATTCAAGAAGGGTTCGAACGACTACGGAAATTTACTAGAAAAGGACTAACATAGGCCTCAAGCCTTCTATCTTTGATCAACAAATGTGTAGGTTTTGTTACAAGATTACTCATATCCTTTGTGAGATTATCTTATAAACCAAATACAACTACACAATCAATAATGTCCTCTAGTGTTTCACAGGCTGGTTTATTATACAAACTCGTATTTTACATCTCAGCAACAATTGCCATTTCACATTAACTTATTCACTCTAGATTAGAAACTTTACATTCCCTAAAGGTCAAACTTATATCAAGGACACGAGGTCTACTTCTTGTGACTATTTAGCTTACACCACAAATAAAAAAATTAGGGGTTTTCCGGGGAAACATTTAGGGGAGGAATGATGCATTGCCACAATGTTTGCACTCAGTCGCCTCATAATCGCCAAAATTAGCCCCAAAACGTTTTCCTTCGGTACACTTAAGCATATTCACCGATCAAATTTTGATTGAAAACATTGATTTCCGACAGCTAAAATAAGTTCTTGGCAAGTTAATTAAAGTTAAAGGACACAGAAGTAAGTTGGATGCCTAGTTTCAATCCGATCTACAAAGCTAACAACAACATTCTATTTCACTGAAGCGATCGCTTCAGACATCAATGTCTGGTCACGCACGTGGTTCTGTACTTGTATACATTCCTATCCCGTAATACCATCAGTTGTGAAATGTAATCGTCCCAAAAGAAACTTAAGGTTAATCCCATATTTTGCTCTTCATTTAAAAATTCTAACTTACACGAGTTGATATTGAACAATTATATTTCCCTTGAAAGACAACCTTTTCCAAGAACTTCTATTCCAAAGCCGGCATTCCAATTAGGGATAAAATCTTATCTCAGGATAACTGCAAGCTACGTAACATTATTATACAGTCGTCTTACCAGTAGTATAAAAATAGTCGTTAAACGGACATCAGGGAGAAACGCAACTAACCGTATTCCCGCTTTAGTTCCAATATCCAATATCGTTTTTACGAGCTAGTATAAACCAATTTGATTTCTTTGTGCTCGCCTCTTGATCGTGAGGTATAGGTTCCTGATATTCGGTAAACTTCTGTGCAGCTCGTCCCGCCACTCAACTGTCATTGCTTTGGTTGACTCCGAAAGGAGTAGTGCTGGGATTAATTTTATATGGTTTGTAGTATAAGGTGTGTTAAGACTGTTACTACTGTGAATGGAGTTTTTCCCTTCACTATTTATCCTCCGGTATCGTCGTCAAAAGAAAAGAGATAATTATGATAGATATAATTAGTGAAGTTATTCAGACTAACAGACAGAAAAAGAAATAAAGAAAACGTAACAACAGTCAGCTGATTAAACTTGAACTTGATATATATATATATCGGTAATAATAATAATAAGTGTAAGACGGGAGAGAATGTAAAGAAGTAAAACGAAGAACTTAGTTGTCTACCCCTAACTTACATGGCACCAGTCAGTGAAATCTACAACAGCCACGTAGGAAGGTGCAGACTTCCTGGTTGGGGTCCTCGGGACGGTAAAAACCAATTGTTTTCAACAATTGGTGGCATGGCTCAAAATCGTTCTCAGTGGCGCAGATGCATCCTTATGACTCATGATTTCCAATGAAACTGTTTTGTTCTTTGTTATTACTATTCCTTTGTCTCACACCTCTGTTTACTGTCTCTATTGTGTATTTCTTTTACTTTCTTCTCTTGCTTTGTGTGCTACAAAGAGGGAGTGTGGCGAGTTGAACTGCCACATATATATGCAAAGTTCTACGTCGAAAACCGACCGACCGACCCCTAACTTGGAGTATGGAATTTTCAGAAGATAGGCCATTTGGACGCAGTCCTTATGTAGCTGTTTGATTGTCCAGCCTTCGCTTAAAGGCGTCCACAGACAGTGCTATAGGTACATCTGCCGATAAGGAATTCCAGGGACAGCAAACTCTCAGTGAGAAGAAGTGGGAGCGCACCCGGGTCCTTGTCCTCTGGTCAGCTATCCTTCTGTACCTACACAATGGCATAGCAACTTTAACTGGGTGATTCTGGTCATTCGTTATTTTGCAGGTAGTAATTGAATCCCCCCTATGACGACGGTAGCTAAGTGTGAATAGGCCTAATTTCTTCAGCCTTTCATCATATGGTTTATTTTGGAGACCAACCACTCCTTTTGTTTCCCGTCTTTGGACTCTTTCCAAGAGGTTGGCGTCTTTTCTAAGCAGTGGGGGTGCAATAATATAATGCACTTCAAGGTGTGGTCTGACGTATGTTTTGTACAACCTTAGAAAGAGCTAAGGAGTGAGTGCACCTAATTGTCAATGTGTAAAGTGTATGACCGCATGTGCCCTCGCTACATCCCCCGTATAATTTACGCTTGTGTCCATTTTCTCCGTTACAACTAGACCTAAGTCAAGTTCCGACGTTGTGCAGGACAAGCTTTCATTGCACAGGGTGTAACTTGCATTCTGCAGTCTACAGGTGCGTAACTTCACTACTTTGCACTTTTTCAGGTTGAAAGTCATGCCACTGGCCACCGCCCAGTCTTCCAGAAGGTT